AGATACAAACTCTGCAGCAGCACCCCCTCCACCAGCATTTCGGACACACTACACTGAAACAGCTTGCATTGCTGATATCCAGGACAGGGAGGATAAAAATGAATCCCAGCAGAGTACCAGACAGTGCAGCATTTTTTTTAATTGTTTTTATTTATTTTACAATTTAATTTTATATTATTTTATTATTTATAACAAGACATATTCAGAACCTTTAGTCCAATAAATACTACAAAGCAAAATTACTCATAAAGATGCAACATTGAAAATTAGGTACAAATACATGAGTATTATTGTAAAAATGTTTTCCTTTTTAGGTCTTTAATTTCCTAATCATTTTGCAGAAATTATTAATTATAGGGAAAAATTATTTTCCATGAAAGAAAAGCAATATTTAAATCAAAACAAATAATTGTCCATTATCATTGAACAGTTGAACTGTAGGTATCAATAGTCTGACATGTTAATAATGAGTAATCTGTTGTTTGTTAATAATTCATAAGATAAATTTGCCCATAATAAAACCATTTTAACTACTGACATGATCTATGTTCACCAGAAAATCTGAGTAAATTGGGAATTTAAAAAACAGATGAAGTAAACAAGACACTTGAGTTACAAATTAAATAGGACAAACTAATGACTGTTTAAAATTACACAGCTTTAGTTATACTCCTGTCAGTTGCTAGATCACAATTGGCCAGACAAAATCCAATCCTGGTTTTATGTAAGACAAATTGCATATGTTATGACAGGAGTGGCTGTGCACTGTAGGTACTGGAAATACCGGCTCCGCTGGTGGCCCACAGATGCACAAATACTGCCACTAACTTGATCAGTCCAGGAAGTCTTTCAACGTTTACTGCCACCAGTTAATTTGTAGCTACTGGACCCATGCTGAAAAATCCAATTTTCTTTCACGTGCAAAATGCAGCTACCTCTGGAGTGGTTATGGTTAGGGCTGTCATTACCCAATCTGTACTGCCTACCAAATTTGTTTTACACATGCACAAAGAAGCATTTTCAGCAGTGTGGTATCACCTTACTCAATCATCTTGCCCTAACCTTAACCAACCTGGAGGCAGATGCATTTTGAGAATGCCTAAAATGAACTGGGCTTCCTGGACAAATTGGGAAGCGACAGGGGCAAGAAAACTGGATGAGGCAATATGATGGTGCTGTAAATTGCTTCTTTGTGCAGGCATAAAACAATAGACAGAAGGTAGTACAGAATCTATACTCGGAGCAGAGCTGTCATCACTAGTGATATGGAATGCCACTTATTTCCTTTCCAATCCAATGCCAAGTAAAATTCAGGCTGGTATTGGTGATACCTACACCAATACTAATATTTTGTGCAACAAAATGAGGGAAAAGTGATGAGTTCAGACAAAAGAGACTGATGGAGGAGAGGAGATAGGCTATAAGGTGTATCTAGCCTATAAGGGCTTGTTGCTTTTATTAAAGTGCCCATGGTGTGCTTTTCTGTGTTTTCTGACTTATCTACAATGTTAAAATGAGGTGTACCTTTGTTGTTGTACTTATATGAAGCAACTCGATTTATACAAGTCTTGTAAACTCTCACTGGCCAGAAATTTTTCCAACTATGTAAAGTCTTGTGCAATAGTTATTCTCCTGGCTGTGCGCGTTCATGTGAGCTTGCCTGACATCGTTGTTTTATTGTACCTGGTTTAGCTAATGTGAATGGAGCAGCTTGAAACCTACAAGCAGCCAGCCATTGAAGCACCCTGGGGCGGTGAATGATCAGCTCATCAACGCAGGATTCCTCCAGAACACAGTACCTGTTTGTTTTGACTGCTTGAGACCAATGTGTCTATCGAATATGATGTGTTGTGGGCTGGTGAGTGGATTCTAACGATCCGTGATGTTATTGTTGGTGCAACACTATCTCTTCGCCTGTAATGCAAGGGATGTGTAGGGGAAGACGCAGCGACCACCGGTTTACAGACCTTGGAGCTACTTGAAAGGGAGTGATGTTTCCACTGCTCAGTGGGACTTGACAGTAAGTTTAAAAAAAACACAGATGTTACATGTCCATTAATGTGTTGTTTCTGTAGAGAAAACTGTTGTAAGGCTTGTAGAAGTTACTATGTCTGGATTATGCCAGTTAAAATATGGGGTTTCTTGATTACCCACTTTGTTTGAGTGTCACAAATCTCTTCTCATAGGTACATATACCGTTGTTTACCTATCTAAGGAGGAGAAATTCAAATCAGTTAATACTGTTGTGGTTCATGCTGTCCAACTCCATATTCTGGCTCGAACATGGCAGGAAGGATTTGAAGTATTGTCACTGGGGAAAACGTAGCTTATTTGTCAAAGTTTTTTATGTGTTGTTGTAGCTTCCTGACCAGCAACAGGAGTTGTGTGCGTTCATGAATTATCCTCTCATATTTAGGAGGAGGCTTTCCTTGTGATATCGGGTTTTAGAGCTCTGAAGTAAATACAGACTATTATGGGTGTAAAGCTAATCTAGGTATCCAAGAAATATGCATTTACCCCAAATTAGCCTACTTATTTTAAATAGCCACCTTTTAACATGGGAATCGATCATAGAACAGGAAACATTGGGATCGGAAGTAACGATATTTTAAGGATTGACCCGCACATTACTAGTCATCATTTCTGTGCTGATTTTGCTGGAAGCATGTTTAATTAGAGGAATGTGTTTCCTGGATGTTGTTAGCGCAGCTACAGCAGTGCTCTGTGCTGTCTGACACTCCTCTCCCAGCCTGCGTTAACCAAGCCTGAGACATCAGCTACACCGGGCAGCCGCCAGACAACTGCTCAGCAGAAACTTCATGCCAAACTTCAACAGTGACCACAGAAAGCTGCGCTGCCACAGGTGCACTCATTTTATAATACATGTGTAACTCCAGCTCATTAAGCAGCAAGGGAAACCAGGTACTACAGCAAAGCACAGCACATTTTCGGACAATCAGCCCCGCATGCCTGTCAATATGTTGATATATTTTTTGTTGATTTAATTATTAACAACAATTAATCAACAATCAGTTAATTACTGACATCCCTAGTGCATTGGGTAAAAGACTTTCCGAGTTATACTTGCACTTAAATGGAAGCAGACCCTGTCTCTATACAAGTATAAGTCGAACCAAATTACATGGTTCTTTTCAGAAAGCTACTATGAAATTATAAGAAACTGTTCATAAATGACAGACTCATTAGATGAAGGATTACCTCATTTTATGACATTACATCACAGCATTATTATTATTATTGCCGGTGTATTAACACGAAACCAGCATTTAAATGCTGAAGCTGGTTGATGTGTAACTAATGCTAGCTACAGTACAGTTATAAGTGTAGTAGTTTTCTGTGGGAAGTAGCAGATAATAATATAAATATAAAGCATCAAATAGAAATGAGAGTGGAACTGTTTTCCATAAACACATGCTCCAAATTTAAAAAGCATTGAGGATTCAGGCAAAGTTGCCAGTTTCAGTCCCTTAATAACAGGGAAAACTTCCACCATAAACATTTAATGCCGCTGTGCCATAAGAGAGGCACGGTGGTATTAAAACAGTTTTACTAGGAAACTCCCAGGCGTGACTGTGTGTAACTGAGTGTGAAGCAGAGATTGTTACTCTTATTGTTCAGCCAAGCTTTTCTGCTTAAATGAAGATTAAAATATAAACAAGTAATCATCTTTTATGGCAGACTTACAGGTGATGTAGTAGTTGGCGTTCCTCTTGAACTCCAGGCCCATGTAGTTTGGGCTGAACTCCTGGAATTTGATGGTGAATTTGATGTCCTTCTCGGGCTTGTTACAGTTAACCAGGATATTGGGATCAAGGACCGTACTGCAGCTTTCTGCATGCTCCCTCTTCACCAGGTACAGCTTGTAATACTCATAGTCTCTGCCCTGGTCTGCTTTGGGACAGATTATATCCAGCTTGTCCCCAATGTCTGGATAGATCACCAGGCCCTTTCCAGGCAGAAACCTGGGGCACAAGAAAAAAGAAGAATTGTTACTAACAAATAATAAAGGAAGTCTGGAAAAGCCGCCACATAATTCAACAACAGTTTACACAGTCTTAATACTTTGAGCTAAAGGAGTTATGGGTTTAGATTTGTCTGGCATGGGCTTTTAGGCAGAGTACAGTTAATTTGGACCCACAAAACACTACATGTAGCAGCTTGAGGTTGTTCGCTGTTAATCGACACAGCATTTCACACAAATCCTGTAAAGTTCCTCCTCATACTTGGATCTAAATCAAAGCATATCAATAGTCTGCAAAGAAGAAAACAAGATGGCCAAACACAAAATGGCTGCGGCAGAAATGGCTACAGATAGAATTACATCTTTTTTAAAAAGCCACAGATTCTTTTTCATACTTTTAAAATTACACATGAAATCGGTGCTTCAACATAATATCTGTGCTGCTTCTGCTTGAGAGGTCCAAGTTTCACAAAGAAAACAGAGCAGGGGTCAGACAGGGAGGATGAGACTTCCTGGTTCATCTTCCCTCTGCCATGATCATCTAGTAGAGGATTAAGATAATCCTTCTGCCTTACTGTAACTCTCCTCCTCACTCTTTGCTGCCATCTCAGTCAGATCAGCTCTTGTTCTCTTTTATTCACTAAAAGTGAGAAACAAGAGGAGACCCGGTATGTGTGTGTAAATGTGTGTGAAGACTGGGGGCAGGGGTACCCTGAGTACTTGCAGTGTGTTTGGGCAGTGGTTTGTATGTTTATGCACATCTGCATGTGTGTGCTAGCTGGTCAGCAAAGTGGGCTGAGGTTGCAGACTGATGGGGGGGTAGATGAGCTGAATCATTGTTCTGGACTTGTTTGAGGCTTAAAATGTCAACATGGCTGAGCTCTGCTGTCCCAGTTAGTCAAGCATTAACCCAGACAGCCGGACTGACCACGGGTGTGTGTGTGTATATGCATGTGTTTGTGTGTATGTTGTGGTCGCAGTAAGTGAGAGCAGCACCAAAGCTATCTGCTAGATCTGCCCATGCCAGCGGATTTAAGCAAGATTTAGTAGTGCGCGATGCATTTGTTGTTTTTTCTGATCCCTCACATTTTAACAAGACATCAGGGGCTGGGCCCCTCTCTGTCTCTGCTTTCTTTTTCTCTCAGAGTGCAATCTCACCTTATCTACAGAGCCTCATTTCATCATCACACACATCATTTCACCACTAAATAACCAACTCCTCAGACAGTCTTGGAGAAAGGAGGCCTGTGATGCCTCCTGAAAGAGACTGATAGAGGAGTGTGTGAGTGTAGAGGGGCTTATGATCGCTGTCATTCCTCCTCTGATGATAAACACTGGCAAACAGCCAGCCATGGTAAGAAATAAAGATTTAAAGAGTCCCACTGTGTGAAGATATACCCCCCATGAAAATGAACATGATTGGATTAAGGCCTTTTCAACATTCATAGACATTCTTCTTGGACAAGGGGCACTACCAAATAAAATGTTTAGTTCAAAAAGAGACACAACATGAATACTGCAATCTAGTCAGAGCCCTGTCCATCAGACCCCACCTTTTGGCTGAGTATCATGTCATGAAAGCATGTGCGGATAGGAGCTCTCGTGTGAGGATTGGAAGTGGGTGAGACATTATTTCCCCACTATTGTCAGATGCTCATGCGGGTGAGGGGAGGGGCTACACTGATTCAAGAGCTGATAAGAGAGAGAACATGGGGTATCCTTTGTCCTATACCTCTCTCAACAATTTGCTGTTTTCAGCAGCAAAACAACATGTGCTCATATGTTTGTGTGTGTGTATAAATGTACATATGTTTTCATGTACATGTGTGTGTGTGTGTGCATGCAAGCCATGCCTGGGTACACGTGCATGTGTCTATGAAGACACAGACACAATCGGTCTCTAATTGGATCTACAAGATGCATCAGTGAGGCATAAACAAGTTTCCATGGCAACATTAGGCTTAGTTTCTGACCACCCCTTCTCCGCCCCAACTTCTCTCTGTTCCTCCCTCTATCGCCCCAATCTCAGCCCCCTCCAGTTCTATTCCCCAATCTCATTCCCCCTCGCTTTATCCTTCCCTCTTATTCACCTCATTCCCTCATTTCGCTTTCTCTCATCCCCCCTCTCCGTCGCCTCCCTCACTCCCCCCTCTCTCTCTACACCCAGTCACACACACAAAAACACCTTCAGAAAAACAAGTGTGAACCCAGCAGAAAAGAGAAAGACCAGACAAACATCACAATTAGACCTTGATTTGTCTCACTCAACAAGCAAGTGTTTTTTATTTTCTGTATCTTTGTAGGGGAACTGTTGTTCAGTCTCAAACGTGTTAAAAATACTTAACTCTGACTCACAAAAAACAAAACAAAAAATAAAATATAATGAGCTTCCCACCCCACTTTTCAGTTTTACAACCATTTATTCCATTATCAAAGCGAGCCGCAACAATTTAGATGAATAATTAAGATTTCCAAAATCTTAATATCTTAATATCCCTGAAGGATTTAATCACAAGCCGGCCCCTGTCATTGATTCAATTTTCCGAGCAGGCCTCCTAGTTGGCGGTTAGATAGCTATCCTAAGTGAATTCTTTGCTTCTGTTTCCCAGCCTTTGTTAACTGTCTGCTATAATGAGGCTCTGGCTGCTGTGGAGGTCTGGAAGCGCTATCGCAGATGGGAAAGAAGCAACATAAAAGAAATAGGGCAGCAATTAGTGTTTAGCCCAGTTTAAAAGCTCTCCACTTGGCAAGCTGCAGCCCAGCTCCAGTCCAGGATGTGAAACTAAACTGGTGGGCTGGGACTTTGTCTCTCTGTTGGCTTAATCAGCGCCACTCCGGTGCTACACACAGCAACGCAACGGAGAGGAGGAGACGAGTGACTGAAGATTATTGTACTTTTGAGGAGGTCGAAAGGGAAAAAGGGGGGAAAGGGCGGTTGAATTGCATCTTTCATTCATGTTGTCTGGAGACTTTATAAGACCTGTTGATGTGAGAAGTCTGAGTGCACAGAGGAAGAGCCGTGCAGATACAAACGATGTTTCTGGGAAATGACCCCGAACATGAGAGAGCCTTTATTCCCCTCATGTCAAACGAGGTGGATCTGCCTGAACCAAACAAAACAAAGAGAATCATTTTCAAAACAACCAAATGAGGTTGGTTTTGTTTCATCTGGATGGCTCCACAGCAGGCTCAACCCTGTAAAGAGCTTATACAAACAGGCCTACGCTACAGCACAGCGGAGAGAGAACAGAAAACAACGAAGCAGAGGAGAAAAGAGGAGAGAGGAGAACCCCCTCCTCTTTCTTTTTACATTCCAATGGTGAATATGAGCACATGATCTCACATATGCTACTCCCCCCAACCACCACCACAACCTCCCCTTACACACACATGCACGGATGTGAGAGCACACAAAAGCACTGTGGGGTGCATCCTGGACATTCCCAGTTCAACTTCCCAGCCACCCCTATTCAAGCACCCTGCCCTCACCGACTTTCATATAAAACACCGCCTACATAAGGCCCACTCAAAGCCCCATACTGAGCCTCAAATCAGCCCTTCCCCCTTCCCATGTTCTCCACCCACGTCCAGTCAACTCAGGCCTCTGCCCCGGGCACTGCACTGGCAGGCTGCCTCGACCGCTGAATGAATGGACCCGAGGCACAGGAACTGTGAGAGAAAGAGGCAGAGACGGCTCATATTAACAGAATGGCATCAAATTGATTTGTTCCTCCCGAGCAGCAACGTGAACATGCCATACATATCAATTAAAATCAATTATTCTTTGCTACATATACAGGCCAATCCATCTCTACCAGGGGAACATGCAAACAACCAGGATGCAGATAGTACCTCTTTTTCTTGTCTTGTTTCTGCAGCCGAACTGTTTATCTTTCTTTCATTCTCTCATGCTCTGTAAAATGCACAAGCACCTGAGTAAAAACAAACACACATACACACACTGCACACACAATCATCGCCACAACAGGTACTCTATTCCCCTTGCTATCAGCGTGGTAATTATCACGCCAGGAAAAGTGTTCCCTCACCAATTATCTTTTCTCTTCTACATTATCCACAAAATCAGTGTGGCTGCATCCCCGCTGTTATTGCAGATGACACTTTCCATACGGCAGCCATATTTACAGCTGTTTTAATCAATATTCCATAGAGTTACAGAGTTCAGACAGATTTTATGTCTCCTCGTGTAACATTATAGTAATTAAATGACATCGCGAGGTCACACTTAAGTCTGTTAAGAACACAAAATGATGTTATGCAAATAGTAGATGAGCTCCTGTGCACTGTGTAATATACATAGCAGTGAGGCTTTAAAGCTTCTCTTGCCCAAGGCAGTCTTCGTTTTGTGTAATCATAGGCTGCAAACACATCCTGTTCTCATTCAAGTCAATCAATATTAAACAATTGTCTGCTAGCAGGAGCTGTTTCTGCCTTAAATCTCTTTCAGATCCATCAAGATAGAGCCACAAGCTCATTCAGCCTCACAATGGAAACATTCAAACAGCGGCTTCTGAAATGGCGTCGCTACTGATGTGTGGTTAAGATCCAGTGAGTGCTGTTGACACAGTACTTTCATATTTGGAAGAAAGGCGCATATCATCAAACTGTCAGTATGTTTGTGCTGAGTCTGAAAAATTCCTGATGTTGTCAAGCCACGTGAACTGTCTAAGAACTGCGCAAGCCCAGCAAACTGAGCAGTCCCTCTCTAGCATTTGAAGCAACACCGTGGGAAGGTGAGCTGGTCATAGGCCTGCGCCTGCAGCCGGCTGGTCAACCCGAGTGCTTGTATACATAATTAGCTGGCTTCACTCAGGATGTGCAGGGGCAGATGTTCTTAGGAAGGCCCAACTATAAACACATGCACATAAACACACGCCCCACAGTGTATACACACACCGATTTCCTCACGTCAAACATGGTAAACAAGTCGCTTCAATGCTAGCGCAGGCCACACACACACACACACACACACACACAGAC